CTTAAATGTTATAAATTAATAGCTTAAGTGTTGTAAATTAATGGTTTAGACGTTGTAAATTGTTAGTTGCAATGTTGTTATTTGACATTTTTTGTTTTATTTACCTTATATTTAAATTCTTCGTCGATGTTCACTCTCCGGAATTTCAGGCGCAAAAGAGCTCGCGCGCGACTTCCGTGTTCCTTATATGCCTTGACAAGGTGTCGGTTTGTTAATCAAACGGTAACGATTTTTTGACATAGCAGGAGGCGGTTTTTCCATTATAGCAAAATCAAATTGGACGATTACTTAATTTTTATTAACGATTTAATACGATATCCATTTTTATCATTTTAATGGTTTCTGCAAACTAATACTAAATTCACACCTCCTTGATACTAGTTTTCGACTATCAATTAGTTTGGACAAAAAGGAGTAACGAAGCCTAACGGCAATCGATAACGTTACTGTGAAATAAGTTAAGCTATTAAATAATCAGACGGATAAAATTTATATTAAGCGTTATATTATATTATCGATATTCGTTCATTTACTCATGCTTATTAAAAAATAAAATGTTCTTGTTTCTTGAATAACACCTACATCAGTGCTCGCGATATTTAAAATTCTTATTTAATGCTTATTTAAAAGTCATATACCTTTTTAGTTCCTCTCAAGTTAAACGAGTAAATTTACTCGTCATAGTTTTAACATAAAATGGCTTTATTTCTTCAATACCGCCTGCATCGCTGTACATGATACAGTTATTAATTACGTAGCGAATAATATGAACTCATTGGCTGTAATCGCGGTTAGGTATTTCTTCGTTAAATCTATCGATGTATTAGGCTATTAGTGGTATTAGTTAGTATTTATTGATTCCTCGAAGAAATATCAAATTCTACGAAAATTAACTAAATGATTCTATTCAATTAGTATTCGTCAATGTTTGTCATATTCAGCAAGCTTCTCTTTATAATAGATTATGCCACTGTATATTATATTTGCCTATAGCTCTTTCTTTCTAATTCATTGATTTTATTATTAGTCTCGTTGGCTTTTCCCGTGAGTATCTGTTGTACGTACATCTCCATTATGCTCAGATTTTTAACATCATCGGATAACTATCTTTTTTATAAAATAGTTCGTACAACCGTAAACTTGTACTGTTTTTAAAGTCATTCGGTAAGTAATCATTACAGGAGTGAACTTGTCGAGGATTTCATGGGTGTGAATTTTCGTAGGAAGGTATAAAATGATTCGATTTATTGTAGCTGGTCTTTTTTTTAATAAAAATTTATTTCATGTTATTCCTGGCAAATCACATGGCGCGATTAATAACTGTGATACACGTTCAGTATGGACTCCAGCTTGCTGCGATTAGGCCATTGAGAAATTAAACGAAAGACGGAGAAAGAGTAACGATCATTCTCGAATCTGGCGAAAGTCTGACGAAAGCCATCTTTATCTTCATCTCAAATTGACTAGTTTCCATTCTCATTCTAAGACGAGTATCGCAGAGAGGTTCGAAAAATGATTTTTTGTTGGAAAGTCAGATTTTATTCAATTTTCATTTCTCCAATTTCTACGGAGATTTTCGTTCTTTCAGAATTTTCTTCTTATTTAACGAATGCCTTGACGAAGGATTTCTACAGTACCAGGGCATCATTGGGCTTTTGCACGCTTAGACTTGGTATGACAGATTTTAGCTTATTTTTTTGTAATAATAAGTTACAGGTGCTTGGATAGATCTCTTTCTCAATCGAAGTCCTTTAATGTCTCGATGAAAGAAATTTTACATTTTAACGTTTCAATGTTTTAATGATGCAATAGTATAATATTTTAATAAGAAGGGTCAGGTTTTTAACATCATCGGATAACTATCTTCTTTATAAAATAGTTCATACAACCGTAAACTCGTACTGTTTTTAAAATCATCCGGTAAGTAATCATTACAGGAGTGAACTTGTCGAAGATTTCATGGGTGTGAATTTTCGTAGGAAGGTATAAAATGATTCGATTTATTGTAGCTGGTCTTTTTTTTAATAAAAATTTATTTCATGTTATTCCTGGCAAATCACATGGCGCGATTAATAACTGTGATACACGTTCAGTATGGACTCCAGCTTGCTGCGATTAGGCCATTGAGAAATTAAACGAAAGACGGAGAAAGAGTAACGATCATTCTCGAATCTGGCGAAAGTCTGACGAAAGTCATCTTTATCTTCATCTCGAATTGACTAGTTTCCATTCTCATTCTAAGACGAGTATCGCAGAGAGGTTCGAAAAATGATTTTTTGTTGGAAAGTCAGATTTTATTCAATTTTCATTTCTCCAATTTCTACGGAGATTTTCGTTCTTTCAGAATTTTCTTCTTATTTAACGAATGCCTTGACGAAGGATTTCTACAGTACCAGGGCATCATTGGGCTTTTGCACGCTTAGACTTGGTATGACAGATTTTAGCTTATTTTTTTGTAATAATAAGTTACAGGTGCTTGGATAGATCTCTTTCTCAATCGAAGTCCTTTAATGTCTCGATGAAAGAAATTTTACATTTTAACGTTTCAATGTTTTAATGATGCAATAGTATAATATTTTAATAAGAAGGGGGAAATGGTTCGTATACGATTTTATATTTTTAATCGGCAAAAATGAAGTTGAAAGGGTAGAAAAGCTATTGAAAAAATTTTGGATATCATCGAAGCATCTGTAGGTCGATCTTAATTCGATCTATCGAACGATGGCCCGCGGTCGGTTCGATCGTAACGTTGATTAACATTTATGAACGGCTGGACCCGCTAGCAACATCAAAATACAATTTCTTTTGCCAAAAGGAAACATTGAATTATAGGCTCGCCCTATCAACTCAAGATCAACTTCAATTGACGACTAATTAGACTCTTTGAAAAGTTTCACATCCCTCACGATCACGACAGAGATTGCGCACGACGATTAATTCGTTTCGAAGTTTTTCTTTATACAGAACCAAACCCGCGACCGATGAGTTCGCGGTAGGAAACGATAACAAGAAAGGCTCGCCGCAGGAAATCCCCGACTCTAAACCCGCGAGCAAGGAGGTTGGAGCGGAGGAAGCGATGGAAGCCATGAACTTAGGGGATTAAGAAGATGCGCATCCTCCAGACCAATCTGGGACGGTCAAGACGGGCACAAGACCTGCTCTTTCAAACCATCCTGGCGAGCACGATGGCCTTAGCGGTGGTGGCGGAGCCATACAGAGTCCTGGACGCTCCGGACTGGACCGGAGATATAGATGGCTGTCACCTGGACATCAGCGCCGGCGGCGTCCGCCCACGGGGATCCACTGGAACGCGGCAACGGATACGTAGCGGTCGAATGGGCAGGAATGGTGGTAGTGGACGTGTATGTGTCGCCCAACAGCGTATCGATTATGTATTTAATTTTCATGGAAATTTGGTAACGTTTAATTTATCTTAATTAAGACAGCCATAATATAAACGATTCTATCGTTCTTTTTATTCGAACATGGATAACATTTGATATACGATTTATATTTAATATTAAATATTAATAGATTGCTTTAATTTTGCGTATTGCTTAAATACGAGTGCGTAGATTAATATTTATTAGCGTTGCGCATCAAATTTCGGGAATAATAATAATAATAGTAATAAAGGAATAATCGTGAAATTAGAGGGAGAAGTACGTCTGTCCTTGTCGCACAATATAGTTCTCCTTGTCTGTGATGTAACTTTCCTTGTCTAACAGGAGTTGAGATACCTTCTCGTACATTCTATTCTCCTTGTTGTTTTCCCGCAGTTCCGGCCGTCTGTCATATCTATCACAAAATCCAAAATATTGCCTTACGTATTACCTATTAACATCTTATACTCTCTTTTCATTCCTTTCTCACTTATGTCAACTTCCAAGAGTCTAACGTCTACAACTTTTTACATATTTTACAATCTTAATTCATCATAATTTACGACATCTTTATTACACACCTCGTCTCCTCATCTCACCTTATACTTTCACGCTTTTGTCACGACCGGCATACTTCAAATCCGACGGACTGACGATAGAGATAAAGATGTGGCGGCACTCGGCGACAATGTATATCGCTGAAGTGCCTAATGAACCATCAACATCCCAACGGTCCTTCCATCGAAGGTTCTAGAAGAAAGAGCACGTGGCAACGATCGCGGACGCCTAGCAAATGCATGGACGGTGGGGATGTTGAGGGATGACAAAAGAAAGTAATCGGATCCGATCGAAAGTAAAATCATAAGAGTCAGTCTTAGAAAGTCACGCCTAGAGTTCGGAAGTAGATTGTAAAGTGTATTGATGTTAGAAAAAAAATAAAGTTTTCTTTTTTTTATTTTTTACCTCAAATTCCTTTTTTATTTTGTTATTTTACGTGACACTTTCATCATTACCTGCTTTACGCAGAACGCTTTGCATTACTAAACGTTCTTATTTACACATCTCATTTGCGCATTCACGCGTTATTCGAATATTCGAAGGAGCGTTTGCTCCTAACATGGACCGTCTTTTCGGTATATCAAGCAAATTTATACCAGAAAGGAAATAAACGTAGATACGCACAGATACACGTCGCAGTCCAATTCTTGGCTAAATTTCGCCCATAAGCGTTGGTCATCTCTCTACTTACTCATCTCTGCTTGTAGGGAGCAGGGAATGATTGCATATCGTGTCTATTCAATTCTTAGTCAATGATAAAAGCCAGACAAATAAGGTTAAATGTTCATATTATACTGTGCAATGTATAAATAGTAAACAGATTAGCAGCAGATTGTCTTTATATTTTGTGAACATAAAATAATATACGATCTATTCATACATTGCATATATTATTTATATATTATAATAATAACTCGTGATTTTTTAAAATATCAATATGAGGCCACAAGTAATTGACACGAAAACTAATTCTCACGCATCCGGGGAAGCTGATGAATGCCTTTTCGAATATTTACACGCTGAGATAGTTAATTATACTCTGAGTAAATCATGTAAAAATAAGGTAATTATGCACAATACCATAAATTTTACATAATTCAAGAATTTTGCACTACGTGATATTATATAGGTATTTCTCCCCATTTTTTTTTTTTTTTTTTATATCCCTTATATCCTTTATTATTTTATATATATTTGACTAACATTTTTTGTTTAAATACGGTAAAATAGTTTGACTCTTTCTTAAAACATTATTTTTACAACTATCTTTTAAACTCTTAAATGTTATATTTTATTGTATACTTTAATTTTGTTGACATATTTAAAAATACACATCACTAGTTGAGCAGTATACAATGAAATGTGTCAATCTTATAAATGTACGATTAATACATTTTTTATCACTTGTTATGATAATATATTTTTAGATTTTTAAATCCTACGATAAAGCATTAGTCACTCAGTGAAAGAGAAACTACAAATGTCTTATTATGTTTTGTAATTATCAATTTATAAATACATCAAATTTACGAATTTTGATATCAAATGTTAAAACTCTCATTTTAATATTCAATTTTGTTGGATCAAAACCTGATACTTTGATATTAAAATTTAAATGTTATAAAAACGTTATAACTTGTACGATAATGTCTACATAATATCTAATGTATAAAGGAAGGGGAAGAAGAGCTGTCTCGACTAGAATGGATGGGATTCAGTGTTGGCTACAGAATCATTGAACGATTGACGAGGGAATGGAATCGATTTAAAGATGAATTGGATATGATAAAATTTATTTGTACTGATTTTTGGTCTGGTCTTTATCATAAACAAATTGATAATTTAAGGACAAATCACCATGGTGTATATGTATTACAAGACAACTCATTTCGGTTATTGAATAAAGTAGGTACTAATAGTAATAAACAATATCTTCAGGAAAGTCCTCGTTTATTGACATTTACTTGTGGACTTTTAAGAGGAAGTTTAGCTAATCTCGGAATTATTAGTACCGTCAATGCAGAAATTTCTACGTTACCAAGTTGTAAATTTCATGTACAAGTCCAAAGAATTTAATGCTCGTAAATACAATGCAAAATCATGTTCAATAAAAGTTAATACATATTACGAAATAATATCTAACGACTAGGTTTTTCATAAAAATCAGAGAATCAGAAGATAACGTTTCGTCTAGTTGTAACAACAGGTAGTGCGTTAAAACGTACATTTGATTGAAATTTCATAAACCATATATTTTAATGCAAGATAATTTTTATAAGGATTTATTTATTAAAAGTATATATATATATATTTTTTTTTTTCTACAAATATGTAAAATTGATCATATGATAAGTTTCACATTTTTTTCAAAATGAGTACCTATATACCTTAAATGTATTGTATAATGTTTAATTTAAATGCATAAAATAACCGGAGATGCTAGTTATAAGTATCCAAGTATATACATCCAATTTTACAGCTACAGAGTATAATAAAAGTAAAAATTATGAAAAACATAATTATAATGAAACAAACGAGTAAGATAATCTTAAAAGTGGTTTAACGATTGTATGTTAATGTTTAAGACCTGATACATCGAATGATTATTAGATGTTGTATCCATTATTTTTAGTAATAAAATTCAAAATATGAAATTGGTTTATGACTCCAACAAAAGCATCATCGCGTTCATCATCTAAAATTACCGCATACGGTTCTTTTTCAAGAATCCGTGATAAATATCCAAGAGATGCTGAATACTTAACTGTAACATATTGTTTAACCATAGTCTTTTCTACAAAGTCTGTATAGTTTACTGCACCAGATATTATGTTTGACAAAATTCTATTCAAACTAATAACACCTTTTATATGTATATCATTATCGCTAATAAGCAGTAGTTGTATATCTGTATTTTTAATCATTTGAACAGCTTCTTGACATGTTACTGTATTTTCCTTCAACAAAGGTTGTTTATCAAAAGATAAATTTGAAACTTTCATATTCCACCACCACTTATTTGTTTCAATTTGACATGTAGCTTGCTGCAATTTATTCAATGATACATCATTTTAATTTCTAATAAAACAGTACAGTATTTGTATAGATTGATATTATGTATAATTTACCAAAAATCCTCTAGCTTCCATCCAGTGGTTGGATACAAATTTAGTTAAATAATTTCGTATTCCATCGGGTAAAACAATAACTATACGTTTTCCTTCGGGAATATCTTTAGCCATCTTTAGGGCAGCTATAAGCGCAGAGCCGCTGCTACCACCACATAGTAAACCTTCTTCACGTATAAGCATTCTAGCAGCATTTAATGATTCGTAATCCTCGGTTTTTACCCATTTATCGATTACGTTACGATCTAACACTGTAGGTACAAAATCATAGCTAAAAACAATTTCATCGATCATCCAAAATACAAAAAAAAAGATACTGTATCTTGATATAACGGAAAAGGATGTTATACCCACCCAATTCCTTCTACTTCGTAAAAGCCAACTTCTGAATCTTGCGATTCAGGATCTAAAATACTTCCTTTGGGGTCTACGGCAATGATCTTTATATCTGGCGATAATTCTTTCAGTTTTCGCGCAATACCTGAAACAGTACCACCAGTGCCTGCACCAGCTACTACATAATCTAATTTCCCCTCACATTGTTTCCAAATTTCAGTTGCAGTTTGATCATAATGAACCAATGGATTTCCAGGATTAGTATACTGAGCGATATAACATAAATAGAAAGTAATAAAGTTGTACGATATTCAATAATATACAAAAGCGTGTACACATATATGTGACATTACCTGATCAAGAATAATACTATTTGGTATCTCTGTCTGTAACTTTTGTGCAACGCTGATATGAGCTTCTGGACTATCCCAACTTGCTTCTGTTGGGGTTCGAACAATTTCAGCACCAAGTGCACAAAGTGTTGACGCTTTCTCATCAGACATTTTCTCCGGCATAACAATAATGCATCTATATCCCCTAACTGCAGCAACCATTGCTAAACCAATTCCAGTATTACCACTTGTAGGTTCGATGATGGTATATCCTGGCTTTAGCAAGCCTTTCTCCTCTGCATCCTGCACCATCCTATATGCGATTCTGTCTTTCACAGAACCACCAGGATTAAGAAATTCACATTTTACATCTAAAAGTAAACTAATATTTAATTATATCAAATTTCCAAATTACATATTGAATAAACAAAACTAATACTAACACATTTCACATTTAATCCCATAAGATTTTGGGATGTTATTCAATTTTATAAGTGGAGTTTGTCCAATAGTAGTTAAAATATCAGGAAGTATCTTGGTACGGTCGCCATTTCTGAAATAAAAATCATGTTAATAATATAAATAAAAATCAACATTGAAATTTAAAAAAAGGAAAGAAAGCTTTATATAAAATATAAACACTTACACAACAAAGTAAATAAGCATACTATACAAATATTAAGAATAACGGTATTATATTTGATTTAAAATCTTCCAAGTATTTCTTATTTTTAAAGAATAGGCTAAGTATAATAAAAAAGACAAAAAGAATTATTTATTTGAATTTTTGAACCAAAACTTTTACAGTTGTCTTTTAGATCTTTGAAATAATCATTTTCTACTATCTCAAATGATTATAATATGTTATTGATTTACGAAATTCAACTTTCTATAACTAAAATTTAATTAAAAAAACAAATTTTTGTAATAAATTATAGTCTCTTTACTCTAATTTTTAAGTACTTATTATGCCAATTTCGAAAGTAATAATCTTATAATCATGGATCATTCGATGCTGGTCTAACAATATAATATAACGATGGACAAATATATATGAATAAAATTTAAAGAATATATGTACACACAGATGTGTTCAACTTTTAAGTCACGTAACTACGTAGTTGCAAGAAGTTAAATAGAAAACATACATACGGATGTGTGTTTCTTCTACTATACAATGTTATCTAAATCAAGAATTCTGAAATTTATTCACAGAAAAAATATAACCTATATTAATAGAAAAAATAAAATGAAACGGTTATATAATTATGTAATTATTATATGTATAATGGACTTAATCAACGATATGGTTGTAGATTGTAATTTTTATGTTATAATTACATCTTTATTATACCGCAAGATATTATTTTTATTATACCTTCTATCTTTTCGCTGAGTATAACAATGATGTATCTATGACAATAATTTCCTATTAATACGATTAATACTTCTAATCTTTTTCTTTTTTGGTTAATACTTTTGTTATAAACTTACTCCATTCTACATGTATGTGGTGAATTTGTTGCGTTTAACTCCCATGTGCAGCTACTAGATCGATTAGGCTTCTTAAATTCCATGATCAAGATTCAAATTACACTTTAGTTTCTTGAATAAAAAAATAAAGATAATCTTCAAACTCGATACAACCAAACAACTTAGATGTTATATGTACAAGACTTTTTAACTAATATGTATCAAGATTAATAAAAACGATGATGCTTGCGATGAATGCTACATCATGTGCTTTATCTAATCATCTATCATCTAAGTGTTGCAACAACTGCTTATTTAACATTATTGGATATCTTTTTGTAATCATGATTTTTTATTTCGTTTTTTACTAATAACGTACTCGCTATTACAAGTGAAATGCAATTACTAAAGTATAAAAAAAAGATATACATATATATATATATATACATACGCGCGCGCGCGCGCGTGTGTGTGTGTGCGTACGTGCGCGCGCGTGTGTACATATAAACGCACGTATATACACCTATACGTAATCAATTAATGAACTTGCAATATTTATGAAAACTATTATGCAAATGTCACAATAAGGACATTACGCTAAAATTTAAGTACTAATATATTTGACCATTTCTCGATAATTGATGATTACATACCATACATAAGGCTTTTGCAAAGAATGTTGTTTCCACGCGTAACTACTAACTGTGTTATTTAATATATACATTGATTAAATAGAAAAAGATACAACTACATTCACGAGATTTATCCAGCTTTTATTTTACGTAATTGATACATTTTATTTTATGTTACTAAACGATTATTGACTAAACTATGTTATAATATTACGTTCATGCTAATTTTTTGAAAATTTTGATTCGTATCGGACCGGAAAAGAGAATATGCCATTTCAATATGGTGGATCGTTTTTGAAGTACTCATTGTCGGTACTTTTTGTTTCTTTTTAAACATTGATATACATTGATAAAAATTTTGTTAAGGAAGTACGAATTTGATAATTAAACAGAAGGTTAATAGTTATTATAAGTCTACATGAATGACAACGATTGATGCGTGTTTGGTAACGGTTCACGTTTTTAGTTGAAATGGATTGTCGTTACCGCAACGATTATACAGTTCGTAAAAAGTCACACGTATGTTCTGCTTCTAAAATGTATTAACAGTAAAAAATAGTGCATTACATTATCGGTACCTATTGTATTGTAATGCCATCGTTCGGTAGAAATTGTATTCTATTCTAAAATTGTGACAAGTTCATAGCATTCATCAAACAAAACTTACGAGTACACTGTATAATTACATATTATGCACTTTGAAGTGGAATCTGTTCAAAAATATCCAACCACAAACATGTATGTAATTTTACAAAGAATTTTACAGTGATATTCTTATTTCACATTATTTTGTATTTTTTTTTTTTTTTTATTGTTTATTCATTTCTTTTTCGTATATATTTTAAAATAGCTGTTTTAATATATTTTTATTTTTAATGATTTGCAACTTTAATTTGATAGGAATAAGTCAATGGAGGACTTGTTAATATACAATCGTGAAGTTATGACCGAGTTGGAAAATCAGAATCCAACAGCAACAAACATAGGCAATGGTATACCAGATAATGTACAAGAGAGTGGCGCAAGTGGAGAAAAGAAAGATAGTCCAGTTTCAAGTCCAAATTTATCACCACGCCCAAGTCCAAAAGTGCGTAATAAACGAGATCACTCCAAAACAAGTCATGATTCAAGTACCAAGGAATCTAATAGTGTCAACAAATTGGATGATCATCAAGTACATTTTAAGATTTTAGCATTAAAACATCTTTTGTTATGAAATTTCCTTTGTCTCAAATTAATGCATAATTCATTTTAAAAACATGATATAGCAACAACAAGATATAGCAAACAAATCGTCAGATTCTTCTCAGGCTGTGAAAAGTTCACACGAGGGTAAAAAAGAAACACGGAGTAGTGAACGAAATAAAAAAAAATCTTGGTATCACGTTTTATATCCAACTTACAAGTCTAGATCTGATGATTTTAGGCGTATATTTAAAGATGTACCAGATGATGAAAGATTAGTTGTCGGTAAGTAATTAATTTTCATGTAAGATTTTTTGATAGTAAAATATAGTACATGGTGCTGTCAATGCTGATACTTCATTTTTCTTAATGCTTTTGTTGTAAGCTTGCTCCAAATTTTAAATCATTCTTATCACTGTTATAATAATATTAGCATATTAATCATATCAGATTGCAAATATATTTAAACATAACAGAAAACATATAATTTCTAGATTATTCGTGTGCACTGCAACGTGAAATATTAGTTCATGGAAGACTCTATGTATCTCAAAATTACGTATGCTTTTATGCAAATATTTTTAGTTGGGAAACTCTAGTATGTTTACGCTGGAAGGATGTTACATCTATCACCAAAGAAAAAACTGCACTTGTGATACCTAATGCAATTTTAATATGCACTGCCACTGACAAGTTTTTCTTGACATCTTTCGGTGCAAGAGATAAAACATATGTAATGTTATTTCGTGTATGGCAAAATGTTCTTATTGGTGAGGTATGAAAATTATGTGATATCGGAACATATTACAAATATTTATTCGTATTAATTTTATATAAAATGATATAAAACTTTCAATGTAATTAGACTTTGAAGTGTCTAAATAAGAAATTAATTGTTTAAGCCTATGAGTGCATCTGAAATGTGGCAACTTGTACATTCTTGTTATGGAGATGAATTGGGTTTAACATCGGATGATGAAGATTATGTTCCGCCGTTACCAGCACCTGATGAAGAGAAGTTATCAACAAGATTATCCGTAGAATCATTTTCCGAGGTAATTTATATATTAACATATCAGAAATTAATGCATGATTGGTGTTAGAGTGTATTATCAATCAGCGTGTGCTATTTCTGTTTTTCAATATCATGTATTAATTTTAATTTAATTTTTTTATGAAATGATGTGTTTTATATCAAAGGTAGAAAGTGGTAATACAGAACATGCAGTAACTCGAGTGCCAGATACAATCTCTGAAACAAAAGCAGAAGTTCATCATTTGCCTCGGCCAGATCCTATTATCGATGCAACAGACCTAAGTGATACAACAGAAAGTGAAGCAGAAAAGCATGCATGTAAGTCTTTGATAGTGGTGTCTTTTTGTTAAATCTCTTTTTGAAACTCCTCCGCTACAGAAGACATTAACATTAGGAATGTATGTTACTTACCTTACAAATGTGAAGAATATAATATTAAGATAGATCTCAAAACATGTCCCAAAGATATAAATATGCTTTACCATATAAAGATAGAATTTTTATATCTACTTAAAAGAATAAATGATAATATTTGTAATCGCGTGAATTAGTTCAGCATTGAGATGATGATGTTCACTGTACATTTGTCGTTTATTAGATATTCTTAGCATCAGCATCAATTTTCGTGCGATATGTGGGTTGTTACTATTACAGAATTCCTTATTAAACCAATTTTTTTTCTACCTACGCTCCATAGTATACTAATTATACGCAGCCGTTAAAAATAAAACTGCTTAGTTATTCTTTCAACATTTCAACATTGAAGATATGCGCTTGGTGACATGTGATTCGTATCTAACAGATATTATTCAAGAGGTTTCAAATAATGTTCACATGGATAAGCAAGAAAGAATTAATTGTATGGTTTGTACATTTTACTGATTCCAATATCATGGACTTCTATTTACTATCATTTTTATTTATTATATTACTGTTTCCTATACCATTTGATTAATTTTTAAAATGTTTATGCCAGATATACTGTAGAAAAAAGTTATTTCCAATAATTTTTATACCAAATTATTTTTATGATACTCTGTTATAGATTAATTCATGTTTATATGATTCTCCTTTAATATTCTTAAAATACAAAAATACGTGATTTTTTAAGATGGTTAAAATATTCTTTGAAAATTTGAAAGTTAGATTATTTTTAAATACATTGCAAAAAACATCCAAAAATATCTTTTGACATTTTGATATCAATTATCCTTCGATCTCAATAACACAATATTATTTAAAATTAGAGGAATATAATTATCAACTAGTTGCATTTTGCTTCAACTTTAGAAGCTATATTGCTATCTGTGTTCCATTAATAACGATTAAATTATTCTTCGTACTGTTATATAAATGTTTTAATCATTATGATTTCAGTAAAATTAGGCGTTCGAGGCAGTGTAGTGTGTACCTCACCACATGAAGGCCGTCAAATAAGCAAGGCTACATTCCCTATCCATATTGATCAATTATTTACCTTGCTATTTACAAATTCAAAATTTTTCTTAGATTTTCAAACTGCTCGTAAAACTACTGGTGAGATATACAAATTCACATATCTAGTGTCATAAGAAGTCTATAAAAATGATAAAATTAATATAGAAATATTTTTATGACTTACTTATTATTAACATATTTAACTTTAATTTATGGCGTTATCTTATCAGACATATTCATCTATTTAGATTTAGTACAATCAGAATGGACTCAAAACGAGCAAACTGGCCAGAAAGTTAGAAATTTATCATTTACAATAGCACTGTCTCAGGCTATTGGACCAAGAACCTCTCATATTTCAGAAACTCAGGTTGTTATTTTTATAAAACTATTATCAATTAAATATATATTAATTACAGAGTGCTTTTATATTTACTAATACCCTATTAAAATAGTTCTCTCAAATTCGTTTATATATAATAATGATGACTTATAATGGGATTTTTAGATAATGTTACCATGCAGCAGACCTGGTCATTTATACAGTATTGATGTAGAAAGCGTAAATGCTGGAATCCCATATGCAGATTCATTTTCTGTATTACTCCATTATTGCATTACGAGTGCTTCTGAGAATGAAACAAGTATCGCAATTTATGCTCAAATAAAGTACAAAAAGAATGTATGGGGTTTTGTAAAAAGTAAGAACTTGTGACATGTGTTTTTCTTATTTATAAGTGATAATTATATATTTTGAACAATAACAGGCGTTATTGAGAAAAATTGTTGGGCTGGAATAGATGAATATTTTACGAGCTTAATAAAAGCACTAACGGTAGAATGTGAAGAAACTACTGGAAGTGGAGGAGTGAAAAGAAAAGCAAGAAGACGACGTCGTGCCACCGGCCCTGGTATTTCTTTACAAACTCATTCTTCAGATCATACGTCTTCCGCTCTACAAAACTCTTTAAACATGCCACATATTAATGATAATACTGGTATGAAATCAATGGTACAATAAGATATTAAAATACAGTATATAAGAATAGAAATTCATAAAACTCAATACATGCAAATTTTTCATGTGCAGTTTCTGCTACTCGAGGCGACTCAAATATGATAATCAGTTCAATGCTATTAATTGCTGTCTTATGTTTGATGGTAATTAATGGTTTATTGTATTATAAATTATGGGGCTTAGAAGAAGCAGCAGCCTATACTATTATGGATTTACATGTATTAAAGTACGTATTAGTACATTAAATGTTTAATGATAAATTACTACATAAAATTGATATTTATATTAGTATTTCTAATTTTTCAACATGAAGAAATACACCAAAAACCGAAGAAGATTGGATTCACTTATTGCAACAGCAAGAAAGTTTGCATAATATAGAAATGAGAAAATGGCAAAGAGTATTACATACTGCTGCACAATTACTTAGACAAGTAAAATTTCTATTCCATTATAGATTATATACATAATATATATATTCTATTTGTATAGAATTACAATAGTAGATTATAACCGGTTAAAGTTATCTTCTTAATTTTAAAGACAGAGGAATCGTTAACAGAATTACAAATGAGTATTCATCCAACTGCGACGGAAAAAATGTTCTCTGTGTTAAAACCGAGCTTGAAAAGCTTTAATTCGCGTACAACAGAACAGCGAAGTCACTCAGAAATGTAAAAAAGAATTGTGTAAAAATATTCCGATAAAAGTAACGTGAGTATTATAATGCGATAAGTCATTAAAAGTCATGATTCTAGTAAACTTCAATTAAGTGTACTTAATAAGAATATTATTATTATAACTAATTATTGTTGTACTTGCATATAACTTATAATTAGGTACACAAGTGCGCTCTGTGATGATGATGATGATGATGATGATGATGATGATGATGATTGTTGATAACTCCAAATGCACAACAATACACACGCAAACTGTTTATGATCAATAGGAAATGCAATTTAAATTTGTTCGTTTTTATTACTTTTAGTGTTTCTAGTATGTTGTATATGTACGTAAATTTTTTCCATGTAGAATACTAAATTAAACTAAGTTATATTTTTAATATATTCTTTATATTATACACAAAAACATTATTTATATTTATATGTTTGTTTGTGTGAATGAAAGTTGTATATTAGCACAATGTAAAGAAAAAATAAATAATTTTTAGAGCATTATAGTCTTAAGAATTGTACTTCTCCCTATCATTTCAACAAAATTTGTTACTTTTCTATTTTAACATTATCAATATGATAATACCTAACGCAATATATGGGGGGGGGGGGTACACGGAATAACATAAGACATTGAAATTACTTTACGAAATTTCTTCAATTAAATGAAGTCATATATTTTGAATTTACTTATCTTCCGGCTTGTTAAATACAAGAGTATAACCGCATTTTCCACAATAATGACGGTCTTCCATTGCAGCCATAAAAACACCTGCTCCACATTGTTCCATGGGACATTCTCTTCTCAGGCGATGAATTTTTCCATTTTCATCCACCTATTTAACAATATATTTAAAGAATTTGAGCAATAAAAGTTTGCAACTGATAATAAATAATAAACATAATTTCTTCGTTTAAAATTTGTTTAAATCTTATTTAATGAACTGTATTTTGCCATCACTCTATTGTTTTGAAATCTACACAACCCGATTCAAAATACATATAAAGTTATAACGCGCGCAAGTTTTCCATGAGCAATCATACATTCAACGAGAGCAAATACAACGAGTCATCCAATCATTTATGATGCAATTAAATTGCAATATATACAGGGTGTTCATGTAATTAGTTCTCGGCTATCATGATGAATTCAATGTGACCTCCTATACGATAGGGTTTAGTGCCTTAAAAGTGCAGGGACAAGGGGAATACTTTAGAAGGTTTGTAATTCTAGAAAATTGTTATATTCAATTAGCAGGTCATTGGATTAACTTTAACTTAATGATTTTCACTATATATATATATATATATATATATATATATATATACATATTATTCCAGGTTAGTTATACATTATTTAGCTATGTATTAAATTAAAGCTAAAAGAGTTATTAAAATACCTTATAAAATTTGAGTACAGCAAGCTTGACCTTCTTCTTCTTATGCTTGATTTTCTTTGGGGTTGAATAATTCTTCTTCTTGCGCTTTTTAGCTCCACCTCTTAAACGTAGCACTAAGTGTAATGTAGATTCCTTCTGAATATTATAATCTGATAAAGTTCTACCATCCTCTAATTGTTTTCCAGCAAAGATTAATCTTTGTTGATCTGGTGGAATTCCTAAAATTTAAACACAGATTTGTTTTAAAAATTATTTAAGAAATATTTAATGCTTTGAGGACTGTACGCTCTGAGAAGTATATAGCCTGAATTCCCACGTTTATTTGGAGTGATTGAAAAGATTCAAAACGACCAATATTATATTTAATATATTAATATATTGGTATAGTATTATTCAAGCATTTAATGTAAAAACACATTTATAACATTTTGTTTATAGCATCCATTGCTTTTTCTTGTTTTACTGTTTTATTTAACGGTAATTAACATTTTTGTAGCATACCGCGTGAAATATGTAAGACGCGAATTCGCGTCTCCAGCCCTCAAAGTGTTAAAATATGTGTTTAATATAGATTGTCACCTTCTTTATCTTGAATTTTTGCTTTAACATTTTCGATAGTATCTGATGCCTCGACCTCAAGAGTGATAGTCTTGCCTGTTAGAGTCTTCACAAATATCTGCATGGTAAACGTTTATAACTGCAAAACATACAAAAATTTTACATGTTTTCTTTTTGTAGTTTCAAGTTCTACCTTCAAGATAAAGACCTATTTGTATCATCTACGGAATTTCATTAAAAGTTATTCGAAAAAATATTTAAAAAACATACTAACAAACAACAATGTACATTTAAACAATTTTTATTATAGACATATTATCAGCATACATAATGCAATAATTCAACAAAAGGAATTTATACAAGTAATACAGCATTGATACAGCCATCGTTTTCAGGATTATTTGTAACTTGAGCATATTTTCCCCACACTACTTTTCCAGATTGAGTTACAAGACCTAATTCTGAAATATTCACTTCAATAATTGTTCCTTTAGTAATAACACCTAAGCTTGTATACATTGGTGAACTTGGATTCTTTTTAACTCCAATAATAGGTAAACAAAATGTGGCTTTTAGCTCAGGATGAGTCACATGTGCCTTTTTGAAACGAAGTGCCATTGGTCTAATAAATCTTTCAAATTTTGGTGGTTTTCTAGTAAAGTTCTCACCAACAAATGTCACTTTTGTTACCATTCTTTTCCAAGATTTGCGTTTAGACTTTCCACTTCTCATTACTTTGAAGACTTCAGATTCTGACTGTGTTTTAACTTTAGGTATTGGTACATCCCATTTCCCAACTTTTTCTTTACGTTTCTGTTTTATCATATTTGACAATACTTTTGCATCTTTTTTAATGTCACGATCCAATAAATATACAGGTAGTGCTCCTTCTGGTACATTGGAAGATTTTTCTTTCACTTTCTTTACCATATGAGATTTAATCTTCTTTTTCATTTGGATCTTTTCATTTCTCCGTTCTTTATTGAAAATCTTTGCTTTTATACCACGTAAAGTACGAGCACGTTCCGCACGTTTATGAGGCTCACGGGCCTCTCTTTTCCTTTTCCTCTCTTCATAATCTAAACGTCGTCCATATAGTTTACGATGCCTCTCGATATACTCGTTCTGTGGCATGTTGGATCTTTCTCTTTCCTTTATAAATTTCTTTTATCTACAAAATAACTCTTTTTCTGTACAAAAGTTTTTAGGAAAGTTTATGGCTGTACAAGCCAAAAAAGGTTTAAAATAAAAAAAAAATATTATACATATCATCCCAAAAACTTACCTTACAAATGTCGCATAATTTATATTTTGACAATAATCCACTTTTAAAATACTTTTTTACAATGATTAGAAAAAAAATGTATTACTTATCATTAGTATAATTAATGTTTTCCAAATAATATGATAACCTTCTTTATTCAATTACAGATTTAATAACTCATTTTCTCTCTCTGTTTATTGCAAATTATGTATGATATATTGGAAATATTTATTATATAACTACCGCCTATATTTCTTTGTTTCCCAGTAATTTGTATACACCGTATCCCGATTGTTATTCAATAACGCTATATTTTCATTATCCTCGATATCCAATAGTTTGGTATAAAGAAACGTGGATATCAAAAAGATAATAAGCAAACGGAGGCAGGACTATAGGCATCCGCACTTCACGCTTTTGTTCAATATAATGTCACTACATATTTAAAACATTCATGATACTTTTTAAAAAGTCCTTCATTCTTAAATAATTTATTTTACAGAATTATATATGATGTTAAATTAAATTATATATGATGTCTGTAACAGCTACAAAATCGTGTTCACGCGATTTCCTTGAAAAACACACAACCACGTTTATTACAACGTGCCATGTGTGCAACTTCTTTCATGTTATAAATATTGAAATATTACCATTAAGAGTATTATAACAACTTTAAACTTTTTAAGAAATTTTAACAGAACATCAAATATAATCAGTTAAACAGATGCTGAAATAATTGCAATTTATTAATAATTTTAAACATTTCTAATTTAACGTACCTTCGTCTACTCCATACACGTATAAAAAGAAATTGAAAGACGAGACAATCTAATGTTGAAAAAGAAACAGCGTCATCTGGTGTTATGTTACTTAAGTATCTCACATAAAAAATAATTAATATACTAATATTTATTAATTAATACAATATTTATGTTATTATAATAGTTATAGTAATTCAATTGTCAATAAATCAATAATGATATATATTGCAAAAAGAAAAGAATAGTTTATACGCAAATGGAACCCACTTGGAACCCAATTTAATGATAACTTTTTGTCACGAAACCTAACTATGATTTGACATCAACATGTAACATTAACAGTTTTTTTATGTACTAATACATTTAAAATGCAAAAAAACGTAAAAGCTTATAAATGATAAACAAAAATGATCTATTCCCAATAAATATTGTTATTGCAAAGCCATAAAACACAGCATCTATTATACGTATACTTAATGGACATGCGCGAAACGCGAAAAACGAGCGCGAAATTTGAAACTGGATACCATTTGTATTTTTGAGTGCGTAAAATTTTAAGATTTAACCCATCATGGCTCTACTTTAGAGAATTAGTCCCTAACACCGCGCGCGATCGGTCATAGGTGCAGTAAATGACATCCGAATTCTTCATGTAGTTTATAGAAAATTTACTGTTCAAAACGATTGGTAGACAATGTTACTTCTCAAACGTCGCATCTTACATTCTTTATAACAGAGGAAGAAAGAAAAAATTATTTATTTAAGAAAAATAAGAAATAAGAAATTAAATCATATTATTTCTCGTGGAATTCTTTAAAATGGTCAATACAATAAACTGATATGGACGAGATGCTGACAAACGGGTCAAACGTGAACTCTCACATCTGAAGAATACTTAGCAACTGAAATAAAAAGCAGTCGCAGCGCGCGTAATAATCCGCCCTTGGTGATAGAAGACAGTCGCAGCGGATTAATCCGCGCTTGGATGCAAATAGGTTATGAAAACGCAGATAAATTTACACATTTTAAACTACTTAAAGCATACATATATTTTTCTTTTTACACTGTACTTTATTACTGTTGAGGTTGGCTGACAGAAGAACGAGTGCATGAATTTGTAATAGAAGAATATATTGAAATAAATAAAGGTATAAATATAACTATAATGCATAATTTTATGCTGATCCAGATTTTTACTCTCTTAATGTTACAATACAATAGAATCGATATGGAGCACGTTCGTATGTATATATATATATATATATATATATATATACATACATACATACATACATATATATATATATATATATATATATATATACACATACATACATACATACATACATATACATATATATATATATATATATATATAGCAAAAGGACATTACCAAAAAGGTTAACCTTGTAGCTCTAGCTAAAGGCTATAAGGAACATAAATAGGAATCTATTTATTAGTTCCTTCGTTCTTAGACCTTGTAACCCGAAACATTATTTATATTCAAAGGCACAATAATATGGATCTCTCCTTATTTAGAATATTTTTGTTTCACTAAATTATATACATAAATAAAGATGTAGAGTTTTTCTTATATACATAAATAAAGATGTAAAGTTTTTCTTGAAGTAATTACTTCAATAATTACAAATATTCATTCTTGTCAAAAGTAATTATAGATTTTATATTGGTCAATAAATTCTAAACAGGGCGATCTCTCTTTCTAATCCACAATCAGTTTGCTACTGAATAATGCATGTAGTTAGATAAAAATTTTGTTATTATAGGTATTATCCCTACTGCCAATTCTTCCTTATTAAAATACAAGAGATCTCCAAGAGTCCAAATGTTTCTTGAAGTAAGGTACTTCATTATTAATATTGCTAGTTTTTCTCTTTGTTCTGGAGTAGCTTCGTACAAAATGATATATGGAACAGATTTAAATTCATGATATCCAACAACTGCTGATATAATACTACTAAGTATACCACCTAAAAATAGAAATTTACATTCATATTGAATAATTTTTATATACAACCCAAACAATAAATAATTAAAAAGTAGATTATAATTAAATAATTACCCAGTGCAAGTCCGGGAGGTCCAGCAATTATACCACCAAGAAATGTCGATCCACCGACTATCATTGCATATTTTCCACTTGAATTTACGGTAACCTTCATATCTTGTACAGCTGGGTACTGTAAAACTTCTTTTAATAATTCGTCTGTTGAAAAACCCATTGTAACTAAATTGAACAGAAATAAAAAATTAAATAAATTCTAACGACTGTTTAAAACGCTTTATGATCAAACTCTGTGTTGAAACATTCAACCCTGCAACTTATATACACTTTGCAACTTGCAAAGCGGTGAATCCCATTTATAATTGTAGAGATACAAGGATAGAGTGTGCTAGTCATATGTTACCGTGTAAGTGGGTAGATGCATGAAAATAAGAAGATAAGAAGGAAAGAATATATGAGTCATATGTTACTATAGAGTATGATGATGTTTCTATGGGTCCCTATAAGTGAATACGATATGAGAATATAGATAGAACGCTGCATAGAGGCTCCTTCTATCCTCGTCTGATCAGACATGTACACCGATGCCGTTCGTTGATCGTTGAGTATTATTTCTCACGTATAATTTGTCCAACGAGACGACGCAGTAAACGTAAAGGGAATTTCATTGACTACCCAACTAGTGATACTCAAAGTTTCAATCATTGGACAGACTGTACATACTTTACTGTACGAATATGCGCATGCATTATTAGCGTTTATCCAGCGTTCTATTTCTATTCTTATATTACCCTTTCATCTCGCTCACGCATACTCACTCTATCTTCGTACCTCTATATTCTCATAATTGTCATCGTAATGAATAATACTGTCCAGCTCGACAAATTGTAAACTACAAATTAAATAATAACAAAAAGAAAGAAGAATATGAATAATACCTACCTAGTGATATAATATCTGCTATTGCCCAACCTTTGGCTCTGCTTTTCCTAACACAAAACTTAATAAATAAAAAACTTCCTAACTTTAGCAACTTCTGGCAAGATTCAGTTTTACAATGTGTAATTTTATGAGGACTTAATTAGCAAATGTTGTGAGATTGAGATACATCTGTATATCTTTTATGGACATAAGAATACATATATATACATATTGATATTTTTCTATACATTATTTATCTCGTCCAGTTACATGCGACCGACGACCAAATTAGCGCATACACTGCCACAGACGCAGTACTATAGGCAGAATTCACTATAATGATACCGTTTATATGATTTATAATCCTATCCTTAATCTTGAAATATCAAATCTTTATTTGTGAAATCTCCTAATTATATGCAACTGATTGCGTACAATCTTACGTTTAAGATAAAAAAGATTTTAAAAATCATGATTGTCTTTCCTGAATTATCAGAATGATTAAGACACATTTGCCGATAGTAATTGTTTCGTTTTGATAATCTTCTGCTACTTATATAACTATATAAAATATTCGAATAGAGAAGGAAATAAAGTATTTTCTAGCTGATCCTTGTATATTTAAAACATTAAAGATACATAGACAAAATAATATGTGGAAAGATTAACATAAATAAATTTTTATTTAGACAATTTTTATTAAAAAAATAACATATTTAAATTATGTTTATAATTAGCGATGATAAATTTTTTACTTATTATTTACAATTAAGATAGCTTTGGTCACTTTGCCTACGGTGCAAATATGTTAATGGCACAACAAGACGACTATCTTTACTTTTATAATATTCATTGAAGTCTAAACGTACACTTAACAACTGTAAAGACACATCTTCGGCTGATGCAAGCATTATAAGAAACTTTTTCACTCTATCCTGTTAAAGAAAATTTTTTAATAAAATTATGTTTAAGTAATAGAAATTGAACGTTTCTTATTACAATAAGTAAGAAAGAAGTGAAAGTGTACGTAATTTCGTGATTTATTTTATATACTATTATGTATATATATAAGCTTATATCTAGCTTAAGAACCGCTATACTTGGGCTTAATTTGACGATAAAGGAATAAAAGAAATATTTGTAATTAATAATATAAATGACATATTACCTGATATGTTCTCGAAAGCAATCTAAGCTGAATTGAAAGTGTGTTTAAATATTTCGAAAATGCTGCTTGACGTTTGGTAATTTCTGCATCATTAGTTTCTGACAAATCTAACCGATTTGACATTGCTAGAGTTACATTTAACGTATTGTTATCCTTTAATCGTGCTTCGTACTCGTGTGTTGCACGTGTAAGAAACGTTTCTTCAAGATTTTGTAAGTCTAAAATTGGGCCATATACGGAACGTAAGTGATCCATAAGTTCCTGTCGAAAGAGCATAGAAGAGGATTACAATAAGATAATAATTTCTTAGAAAGTTATATATGTGCTCACCTGTGATCTTTCATCTAACAGTGTACCACGTCTTACAGCATCTATGAAATGGTTATGTGCTGTGATAATATCATCCAATGATGCTGCTTGTGCTAATTGTTTTGCGAATGCATCCCAAGAACACTCGATTACCTTAAAATTTATTAATACTCTTAACATTTTAAATTAATTAAAACAGTTAATTAGGACCAAAATTAAAATATTCTATCTTACCTCAAATAAGAAAAAATATTGCATTTGATGAACCAAATGAACCATACTACTTGTAATTAAATGAATGTGAGTTTGAATTGGCAATACTTCAGGCATTTTACGGAACATCTTTGCTGAAGTTATTTGACGTTTCCAAATTGCAGATAATATAGATTCCATTCTTTTTGCTCTCCATAAAGCAAAAAATACAGTCTGATATATTTGCCTACAAGGTTCTAAAATCTAAACAGATAAAATATTCTTATTCGTTTTGTTGTTATAAAAAAAAAAAAATGATATTTAAAAATAAGCAAAGAATATTTTTATAAGTTCTCAAGCAAATTTAAGATACTCTTTATTTATACATTTTACTGTTAGTATTGCTTACTAAATGTAACGTCTGTTTTTAAAAGATACAAATTATTTCGCCATACCTACCGTTCCAATAGGACCTCCTACATTATAATCCAAAATAAAGACATCCCATCCCCTTTCATTTTCCGAAGGTGCTAATAATCTTACATCAAGTCGCCTATGTATATCTAAGTCATCTATCTTTGTAACAGTCGCTCTTATTCCAGTTTCCAAAATAGAAGAGATGTTGTGTGGATATACAGAACTGGCTGGTTTATCTAATTCTGGTCTACAATATAAATACATTAATAAAAAAATAATTCAAAGATTAGAAATAATAGGAAGAATGATAAAAGATAATATTATTTACTCTAATAAATGCATAAGATATTGAATGAAGTTTCCTTGTCCTAATAACAGATAACCTTTGATTGCATGTAAATGTTCCATGAGGTGATACTGCTTTGTTAACACTTCAACTACTCTAGTTGAAGTTTCTTTATAAGCTGTGTCCATCATCGTCTGTAATCGACCATCGGGGTCCATATCGAAAAGAACGTCAACTAAACAACATGTAAATTTTGCAGAAAAATGTACATACATTTCATAGAGAAAACTACAAAACATGCAAGGAAATTTCAAAAAATTGTCTTTCATTTGTAAGTTAAACGATCTCCAAATTATTAAAACTACAGGAGATATTGTATATTATTAACAAGTAAATAAAATTTGTTTTGTCATGTAATGCTCTTATGCTTCTTTTCTGTAAAAGATCTGCAATCCTAAATAATATTTACTTGAATCGAAGTTTTCAGAGTTGTTATAAACAAAATATATATCCTTATTAAACAATTCTAATTTATGCTTTGCTTTGGCAATTTTATAAAACTGTATAATTGTATTATAATATTCGCTAAAATCATATACGTATCATAGTTTTGTTGCAGAAGTTACATACGGATACGTATATGGGAAAGTATGAGCAAATGTATCGAAATTTATGTATTTATTTAGCAAGGTTTTAATTATTACATATAATTACCTTTATATTCCTCGCTGAAATTTTTGAACATCTTTGTATGTTTTCCTTGCCATGGAGTAAAATCTTTACACACTTCACGCAAAAAGTTAATACTTTTCCCTGTTCCTAAAATTTTTCTAGCTTGCATTTTTGTAATAAAAGATGGTAGCATATTATTGCGAACTTGATATTTCTCATGCCACATTCTCTCTCCGGTAATATCAGCACAAGCTTCAATGAAAAATTCTCTATACGGATCATCTAATTCACCGTCTGCTATCCATCTTATCAACATATTGTACAGAGGATCACAAACACTTTGTAAAATCCTTTTAACTAATTTTTTCACACTGGCATCACCATGGTTACTAAATTCATATACTGCAGAAGCTAATGCGCCACCTTTTTGTCCTTGGCAAGCTCTTACTATACCTGCTAGCCATTTTAAAGTTTCTAAAGGATCATATGCCCAAAGATGCAAATGGGACAGTGTAACTCTGTATATTCCTGATTCAGATTGAACTCTATTACACATTTAAACGCATTATTATTTATAATAAACTGATGGAATATTATATGTCATCAGATTACATTTTTATCAATACCTGCTCACTTCTTCTTGAATAAGGGCTATAAACCTGTAGTATTCCGATAACTCAGAATGTAACGATGCAATAAAACTATCAGCCACTTGGCCACTCGAAGCAACTGACATTCTTTCTAAACCTTTTTGAATTATGTTATGTAAATATCCAAGTTCACTTAATCTCAATGTAGCCTGTTTCCGTGGCCTATCAATGCTAATCATTGGATCTATTTGGAAACCATAATTGGAGTCTAACTTTAATATCTTTCCTTCAATACCTAGGAAAGAATATATAAGATCTTGAACCAATATATCTTCTGAAATATACTCTTCTCCATATATTTTATTAGAACTGGTTAAAAAATCTCTTGTATTTTTGTCTGTGTTATTTATAGATACAATTTGTGGTGGTGCAGAAATTTCAGATGATTGTCCTAAATAACAAAGTATATTAAATATTAAATATAAAAATGTTAAGCCAGTTAGAAAATAAAAGAAGATCTAGATTGTAAAAATATATTGCTTACCACTAGTGGATGCAGAAGACGAGCATAAACCTAATTTCAAATCAGGAGCTGAGAAAACTCTATCCCTTAACTGTTCTGCTGATTGACACATGTTTAACAAAAATATCAGGATTTGTGTTCTGTTCTTCAATGACTAAAACATATATAAATATATATAAATGGTAACCTGTCATTTTTAACAATATAAACAATTTTCTTTAAACTGTCATGATACGATTATCAAATATTTTATAACTGTATAAAGAAGTAGATAAATAATTAATTTTAAAAAATTATATTTATGTCATACCCCAGATCTTAACTCATTATATAATTTATCAAACTGTGCTGCATCACATACTGATAACTTTTCTCTTATTTGGCTTCCTACAGTAATTTCATCTTCTTGTAATGTTTCTACTCCTTGGGTTGATGACAATAATCCAAGGCAGAAGCGCATCCACTTCCTAGTTATTTCTAAAATCATTGATTCAGAACGTATATGTCTCTTCGAAAGATTCTTACAGTTTCATTAATGAAATATTTGCTCTTAATACATAAAGTTTATTATTGTTTAATTACAGGATTTGCCATTTCATTCTTAATAAACAAATAAAATTTTAATGTCCAGCCGTTTGTCTACATTTGTACCGCAACTTTTAATTTTGTTGTATGATTATAGGATTTATTCTTGTTTTGTAATAATAGAGCGATAATACCTATATTTTTGTCTTACTTTAGTTTGAGTTAATGGGAAAACAAAATGAAAGTAAAAAGTAGAGTAGAAACACCTTGTATACATAGAGAAAGAGCCAAATAAACTGAAAAAGTATACAAGTGAAAGTAAGAAATATTTGGTTTATAATTGATATTATTTAGTAAAATATTTTTCGAATGTAGAAAGAAGCTAGAAATTATGTTTCATACCTGGTTTTTGTTCCCCAAAAAGTGAAATAATCATCTTTTGAACGAGATTACCAACAGTTTCAGCCTCCATCATGCTTGTATATCGTATTTATTCCAATAACATTTAATACTGTTTCATTCAGGCAAACTTTGTACATAAACTTAAAGTTATGACATTCGAACCGTCACTAAATAATAAAAACTTCTTAGTATTGCTTTGTGTAGCCGACAAACGTAAGTACGAGGACTAGTTTTTATCATGGAACTACGATTATATAGAGTGAATACGACTTAGCTTTCCTAATGTATTTTAAAATAACAATTTATATAAAATACAATAAAATAAAAATCGTACTGAAAGAAGATACATATTACAATAATTTTTTAAGTTTAACCTATCTTCTTTACGCGATGTACTGTAAAATCTAGTTAAAATTAAAATTAGAATGTAAATTATTTATTAGATTTATTTTAGCATAAACAATTTAATATTGATCGTACGTATTCTTATAGAAAATAATAATGTGCTCTAGTAGGAGTAGTAATAGAATGATTAAGTTCCTATTTCATGTAACCTAAATATGAACAATAATTTAATAAACATATGAAAGAACATATCAAATTAGTAATATATTGCTACTAGTTTAATTAAAAATAATACGAATTAATTCATTAATGACATTAATTTGAGTTAATAATAAAAATTACAAATCATTTTCCCGTTTATAAATGTTTTTAATAATATTGAATCGTAACCAAATTATTAAAATCTTCAAAGATGGGGTTTAAAGATGTATACTAATGGTGCAAGCAGATAAGTATCAACATGGACATAGGAATAATGATTCACGGATGCCTCACGATGGTCAAATAAAGTGACACCTAACCGAAATCTATATCAACTATAAACAAAAGATAAAAGTTAGACTTGTGTTTCGTGTTATTTTATTCGGCCGCCAGCAAACATTACTAACGTATATCCTGATATAGCATGATATGAAAAAAAAAAATATATATATATATATATATATATATATCAGTGTGCTACGGATGCGCGTTTATAGGCATATAATTCACTGTAGCGGTACCAACACTGTAGTTCACGAATATCTCGAAAACTAAGAAATATATACCGTCGATCATATGTATAAGAAAATGTTGTTCAAAATGTTGATTTCTATAATACATTTCAAAATCATTGAAATCAAAGGTGCGAAAGCTTTTCTGCAATTTCATCAAAAAAGTTAAGAAAAACAAGGTGATTCCCCGAAACGAAGTTTAACCGATTAACGTGTTTATTTTGTTTCTGTAATTAATTTTCCGTGAGTTTTCACTTCAGTCATTTACTTGCCAAACTTTCCGTTCAGGTCATTTCAAAATCATGGTATGTGCCATGATCGGATGCGTTTTGATCTCACCTTTTTAATGGTGTAAACAAACAAGCAAACAAACAAACAAAAAAAAAAAGAAAAGAAAGGAAAGAAAATATGAGATAGACCGCCTAGAAACACGTTACTATTAATAAAATCTCACAAGATATGACCTTGAGATGATTTCCACCCTCAGAGCCTAATGTACATGAAACATTTTTTTGTGTTGCGACAAATAAGAAAATAATTAAGGGTGGCATAGTTAGATGGGACACCCTATATATTACAAGATACATATTTAGAACAGTTTGGATAATTACTATTCTACTGTAATACAATCAAACATTGATTTCAGTAGCAGTATAAAGGAATTAAGAATAATATTTCAATATACTTGTGATTGTAATATTGCTTTTTGTAATAACAAACAAAAGGTTTCATTAACTTCTTGACATAAAATATCTGCAGATTTATCTCCTAATGCTGCTTGTGCAGAATTAACTCTGCCAAGTTGTAACAGCAAACTTGTTGTATCTTCAGCTAGTGGTGGAAAAGCTAAGCATATACGCGTTAATGCTGATAGCACAGGCATAAATAAAATTACTCGATCTTTAGCAGATAATACTCCTAGAAGTGTTATCAAAGTGTTGATGGCTAAACGAGAAACACTTAAAGCTTTTGGTAAAGCATACTGAATTGCAAGATGTGAAGCTAAATCTACAGCAAATATTTGCTTTTCTGGTTCTGGCTGTGACAGTAATTCAGGAATCCAATCAAGACAAATATGCATGGATGGAATACCAGTAACTGTAATGGGTAACAGCTCTCTTGGATAACCCTATAAGTAAAGGTAATACTAAATTACTACAAATTAAATATTTATATAGTTTATGATATATATTATACAGAGTAGATAACTTTCACCGTATCAATTATTATTTGATATCTCTATTATTCTTAGAAATATGGAAGAATATATGGAGCGGACAAAGGAGAGATAACAGAACTGATTCAAGGTCTGGATTTATTTCAGAGAAAAGAACCTGACTCTAAATGCGAGAAAAGCAAAGGTAAACGAAATTCAAGGGGGGCAGGGGATAGAAAAATGAAGGAGGAAAAATGGAAATGGGAGCAGGAAGTTCGTGTTAGAGAAAGGGTTAGGAAGACGGCGGCGGTAATGAGGCAAGTATGTGGAGGGGGAGGGAGAGATTTGCTGGAAAACAGGATATTCGGAAAGAGCTAGTCGAATATAAGTATATTATTATACGATAAATTGGTCCGGACGATAGCAGGAAATGAAGCGAAGGTATGGCGGTAGAAGGAGAGAACAGAGGTAAAGAGCTTACATGAAAGGTGTATGGCCAGTGTGGAATGAAACACGCCAGGACATTTAATAAGAGAAAAGTTAAAAGGAGACAAGATGTGATTGAGAGCATGAATGAGGGCATGGAGATTTGAAGAAAGGCTGAAGAGAGAGCAGGGTGGAGATTTGAATATGTCTGGAGGAGGTCAGAAGTAGAGAAGAAGCGGGTAGTGGAAAGGATAGATATATGGGGGAAAGGGAGATTGCATGAAAGAAAATGGGAAGTGCTATGTGGGTGAATGAAGAAGGGGAGGATGGGGAGAGGGAAAGGCTAGAGAGAGAGAGAGAGAGAGAGAGAGAGAGAGAGAGAGAGAGAGAGAGAGAGAGAGAGAGAGAGAGAGAGAGAGAGAGAGAGAGAGAGAGAGAGAGAGAGAGAGAGAGAGAGAGAGAGAGAGAGAGAGAGAGAGAGAGAGAGAGAGAGAGAGAGAGAGAGAGAGAGAGAGAGAGAGAGAGAGAGAGAGAGAGAGAGAGAGAGAGAGAGAGAGAGAGAGAGAGAGAGAGAGAGAGAGAGAGAGAGAGAGAGAGAGAGAGAGAGAGAGAGAGAGAGAGAGAGAGAGAGAGAGAGAGAGAGAGAGAGAGAGAGAGAGAGAGAGAGAGAGAGAGAGAGAGAGAGAGAGAGAGAGAGAGAGAGAGAGAGAGAGAGAGAGAGAGAGAGAGAGAGAGAGAGAGAGAGAGAGAGAGAGAGAGAGAGAGAGAGAGAGAGAGAGAGAGAGAGAGAGAGAGAGAGAGAGAGAGAGAGAGAGAGAGAGAGAGAGAGAGAGAGAGAGAGAGAGAGAGAGAGAGAGAGAGAGAGAGAGAGAGAGAGAGAGAGAGAGAGAGAGAGAGAGAGAGAGAGAGAGAGAGAGAGAGAGAGAGAGAGAGAGAGAGAGAGAGAGAGAGAGAGAGAGAGAGAGAGAGAGAGAGAGAGAGAGAGAGAGAGAGAGAGAGAGAGAGAGAGAGAGAGAGAGAGAGAGAGAGAGAGAGAGAGAGAGAGAGAGAGAGAGAGAGAGAGAGAGAGAGAGAGAGAGAGAGAGAGAGAGAGAGAGAGAGAGAGAGAGAGAGAGAGAGAGAGAGAGAGAGAGAGAGAGAGGTTCAAACTAGGGAGCGAGATTAGAGATGGGAAATAGTGGCTAAGGAAAGAGAAAAAGGAACGCAGGTTATATGAAGGAATGATGCAGACAAGGGAGCGTGTGTGGGAGGTTTGTGAAGGGTACGAGACAGATTCAGGGGTTTGACAGGAAAATGTGGAGAAAATATTGGAAAAGGAGGGTGAGGAGGAAGAGTAGATGTAGAACTTGAAAGAGAAGAGGATGGAGAGGATGGAGGGGGCGAGAAAATAAAGAATAAGAATAATTAAAAAATAAAGAATAAAGAATAAAAGAATAGGAATAATTGATTAATAATATATTAATTGCAAGTAGGGTAAGATTAAGATGAATTTTAAACTTAGGTTAAGTTAATGAATTTAGTGCTAAGGTAGAGATAAGGTTTATATAATGAAGTTTATAAGTAGGTAATATTATACCTGTAATGTATACATGGTCGTATATATATGTTTTGTGCGCGCGCGTGTGTGTATTATGATAATGATATGTCAGTAATTAATATTCAATGTTTAACATTTTAATAAGTAAAAATAAAAATAAGCAAATTTGGTTGTACATACTTGAAAATGAACCAATTTAGCCAATGATGGGTCTGCTATGAAGACTTGATGCAAATATGAACAGATTATACTTTGTATTTCTCTCAATGACCACATTTGTCCGGGTGTTTCTCTATCTTCTGATGTCTCTAAACATGCTTCTAATAATATTTGAACAGCCGCGCTTTCTTGTCCTGCCACTAATGCTGTTCTTAAATCTTCTCTTTCAGCTTCACTTGATAACTGACCAATCTTTTCTATCAATGGTTTGTCTTGTATATGTCTAGATAACTGAGATCGAGAAGCTGCTAATGCAGCTTGTAGAATTCTAAAAATATTTGTACCAATGAAGTACCAATCGATAATAAGTAATTGAACGTTAAATATTTAAAGGCTTACTCAATCTCTTTTTTACCTTAAAATAACAGACAAAATTGGAGCACATCTAAAAACTCTTGTATCACATCTCAATACTTGTAAAGGATCTAACACAATATTTTCTTGTGTTAAAAAGACATTCTTTACAAGAGAATTTTCTATTAATAAAGCATTTATTGACAAAACCCATAAGCATCTTGGTAGTACTGTATTTAACCTAAGCCATACTTGTTTATATAATTCTAAAAGATTATGATAAATGAACAAAATTATTCTTTCAAAATATTAATAAAAGTATCGGTGTTAATATTTTATTTAATTGAAATAAATTATGTACCTTGAATGTACCTAGGAACTCTTGGACTTACAGTTGCTTTGAAATAATGAATTATAACTTCGGCATGCGGCCAAATGTCAGTTGGTTTCATTGACATTAATTGTCTTAAAAGTCTTCCTGTTCTTGAAGGACATGTTTGGATATGCGAAAATGTTTCAATTATCATGATATCAGTAATTTTTACATTCTCATAATTTGTTACTGTAGAATCAATGTTGAGCATTTCATTGTCAAGCCAATCATCTACTAACGAAAGATGAGGGAAATGTGTTGCTAATAATCTGAGAAGAGGAGAAAATAATCCAGCATAATTCATTTGATCTCTTTGAACCAACTGAAGTAGGTATTTTATTGGTAACTCTGATAAAAATTCAGTTGAATATGATTTAACTTTCCTATCTTGTGATATAAAAGTATGCATATTAGATAATCTAACGTCTTCATACAGTAATAAGTAATATAACAATAGTAATTGTGATGTAAGAGAAGGTTTTGAGATATCGATATCCATATTATCTGTTTCAGTCTTGGGGACACTGTTGATATTCTTAAAATCAAAATTTGCCCCGAAAACGCTATTTTGAAATACTCGTCTAATTTCATCTTCAGTAATTGGTTTGTTTGTGTGTTCTGATGTTTTATTATTTGTCACTAAAATTGAATTGACATATACTTCGACTAAAGCAGGAAGAACCGGATGCAATGGTGGTACACTGTTACAAATTTGTTTATAAATCCAATTTTTTATTGGCACTCGATGTTTAGCAAATGCTCTTGACTTCAACAATTGATGAATACAGTGTACAGGCAAAAATCCTGGGATATTTGCATTTAAATTAGCTGTTACTGGTACTTTTACAGCATGAGAAGTGACAACTTGTTCAGTGAATATCTCTTGCATAAAAATTTGCTTCATTCTAGTTAGATTATTTGGTCTAATTGGTATTTTCATCCCCAAAGTTGCACATACGAGTTCACAAATGGCTGATAGTTGATTGCTATGAAAATGTATTGCCATCAAAAGCAACATTTCTCCAAAACTTGCTGTTACACCACTAGCACTTTCAAAATAAGCTTCTTCACGTACAAGCCATTGAACCCATTCTATGCTTCGCTTTTCAAGATTATGATGGCCTATTAATGAAGAACATGCAATAAGCATACAAAGGCCTAAAGAGACAAATCTCACACCAGCTGGTGATGGAGGAGGATGAGATGTCAACAACTGCACTATCATTGCTACTTCATCATCTTGAAATTTAATACCTCCAATGCCTCTTAATGCACAATAAAGGCGCAACAATGCACTAGCTTGAACAACCTGACTTTCTGGTAGTTGACCTGCATTTTGAGATGTTATTGCTTGCAATCGTTTTAGCAGTTCTTCTCTTAAACATTGTAATGCTGTATGAGATTCCCATTTACGTTTTTGACCATTTCTAATAAACATTGCGATCCATGTTCTTACTTGTTGATCACTGCCAAGCAATAATCCTGACACAAAGGCAACTATATCACTTTCCGCCAGTGTATTATTGATATTTTCATGTTCCAAGCTTAATGTAATTGCTAAAGCAGGCATTCTACATAGTTCTACACACTTGGCTCTTATTGCTAACGCTTGGCTTGGATTCATTTGACATAACATTGTCAAAGCCATTGTTCTAATCCTACCTAATGCTGATTCTTCTTGCCTTTCTCCATTACCTATCAAATGTGCACAAACTTCGGAAAAACTATCAGGAATATTAGCAACTATCCAACAAATTATTTCTGGACCATATTTAACATGTAGTAATGTTTCTGTAATATCCAATATTGATAAAACTGTTGGTAATTCTGATAGTGCTACACAAATCACATAACTAATCTCTTCCATATAAACTGCATTATCAAATAGATCAGATTGTTTAATTTGAAATTCTTGATTTTTCTGTTGCTCCTGTACTTGGGAGGCTATATATAACAGTTCACTTAGGACTAATCTAATTCTCCTAGTAGATTCACTGCGCTCAAATTCTAGAGCAAGACCACTTTGCAGTGACTGAGCAAGTACACTATCCCTTTGCAAGCTTCCCATTTTTTGTCTATAAAAAGAAGTTTATCATTTTCATAAGTATACTTTATATATTTCATAATATTCTTAACAATATTAAATGATAAAACATACATGTCAACAATATAACTAACCTTAATTGTTGTTCCTTTCGAACATCCGTTTCCAACGCATGAAAGTCAATAGAAAGCAGCGCAATTATTGAATTCACTGATTCAATACCAGATAAAATTGACAGGACCTGCTTTCTTTGTTCTACACATTCTTTTGTCACATCTAATGGAGATATAAGACTCATTCGAACTAAACACGGTAGAATTGGTCGTATTTCTTTGTGAGGACACACAGCTAAAATTCCTATATCTACATTTTGTATTGCAGTAAAAATTCGTGGTAATACACGTGTATTTTCTTGCATGGCTAACTTATATTATTTGCAACTGCTTAAAGTTAATAAAACACGAGCACTTTACACCATGAAATTTGTAAACTAGTGTAACTATACTTTTACTTATATCACAATGTGTATGTTTATATTAAAATTAAATTTATATATTTTGAAGATAAAATACTTTAGGATTGATACTTCGATCCAATGAAAATTACTTTATTCGAGTCCAACTAGGTTAGGAAGCATGAGTCTGTCATCCATATTTCTATTCTAATTATACTGTCACGTGTAAATGCACGGTCGTCCGTCTTTGAATGTAAATATGTGCATATACGGAATTAGATGAAAAAGTTACTTATAACTTGTTGACTAGTCTATATAAATTTACTTATACATAAAACGAGATTAAAATCACGCTCCATATGAGAAAATATGACAAGGAAACAATAGAAATGTTAAAATGGGTAAGACATTTTGTTACATAAATAGCCATATTCTTGATAATTATATTGGAAATAGAATAATTTGTATAAATTTACTAGAACATTTGGTTTCTAAGAACATTTCTAATTTGTGAAAGCTGTGTGAATTACAAATTTGCGTAAACCAGCAACTTTTCGTATTTCTTTATCCTGTACTGCCATCTATTAAATGTAATACATAGCCTGTATAGCAAACGTGGAAGTTTGTTTTGCAAAGGGATCGATGGGAATGTTGTGCCGTATGTGATATTGTCCCAATTTTGTTATAAATATGGAATATATATACCGTTTACCATTTTTAGCATTAGAAGTACCGAACTTAAAATTAAAAAAACCATCATGGTTTGTGAAACCTAGTGCTATGGTAGTTTTCGCGCTTATACTTTTGTCATATTTTCTAGTAACTGGAGGTTAGAATTGTATAGAATATAAGTTTTCTTTTTATAAATCTTTTCAGTGAAATAAAAGTAGATATTATTTATATTTCAATGATACATCTTTTTAAAGGTATAATATATGACGTAATTGTGGAACCACCTAGTGTAGGATCAACAACAGATGAACACGGTCATACAAGACCTGTAAGTAAATGGAGTAATTTTATATTAAAAATTTTATATTAACAAATAATTGTTGCTTTGTTGTGATTATGTATTTATCTTTTGTAGGTGGCATTCATGCCATACCGTGTAAATGGGCAATATATTATGGAAGGACTGGCATCTAGTTTCCTCTTTACTTCAGGTGGAATTGGCTTTATATTATTAGACCAAACGCATAGCCCATCAACGCCTAAACTCAATAGAGTTCTTTTAATATGTGTTGGATTTATTAGTGTTATTGTATCGTTTATTACCTGTTGGATTTTCATGAGGATGAAGCTACCGTAAGACTTTTATATAATATATATTGTAATTTATAACAAAATAAGGAATTCTTTATCGAAGGCAATATTTACTATTATTATTACTTTATTTATACTTCATTACATAAAATATAATAAAAATTTGATAAGTATAAAATAATTTGGATATTAAAGGATTTGGATATAAAAATTAATACATAATTCTAATAATGCATATTATTTCAGGGGATATCTACAATCATAAATTCAGTGAGATTAAGAATGATGTGAATTAGAGATCAATATTTTTTACACATTAAAACTATCACATTTTGTACTAGATATATTTAAAATGTACTTTACAAATAATATTAAAAAAAATATTTAAAAATTGTGTCAAATATATATCAAAAGATGAAAAATTCTTATCTGTTTTTGTCTCCTTATTGCTTTCTCAATAATAATAGCAACTAGCGTAATTTTTTTTTTTTTTAAGAAATATGTTTCCTACAGGTTTTCCCTCATAATAATTGAACTTTATTATGATAAACTTCTCTCTCTCGCGCGCGCGCGCGCGTGTGTGTGTGTGTGACGTCTTATTAGGATTTTAAGTCATATGAAATATTAACTCTAGAAAAGATTAGTGAGATACTTATCTATGACTTATTGTGACGATTTTAGGAATTGTATTCAGCCTATGCATCCAAATCGATAATTAACAAATATTAAGTAGTTCTTCAATAAAAAATACAATTAAAGATGTTTCTTAATTTTCTGGTTTTCAGAATATCTTACTATTCTTATTTAATGGATTTTTAATATGTCACAACAGAGGTATACTTTACAACACGTTTCAACAACATGTTTGATGTTCAACATGAAGGTAATGACATGTGCTAATGACACAACAATCAGATTGTTATATATACACATACGTATTTGGTTGTGTATGTAGCACGACCATTAATATCTTTCAATATATGACACAATTGTTGCATATAAGAGTAATTAGAATGTTATGCTTTTTTTTACTATTAAAAGACATGTTTTCTATTATATTTTATATGAAATTTTTTTATATACAAAATGACATGATCTTAAACGTACAAAACCAATGTGCTAGTACCATAATTAAAAATAAAAGTTAATGAAAGTTACACTTATATACATAATGTAAACAGTAATGTAGTAGTGTAATATAATGTAAATATGATAATAAAGTTATACATATATAATTTTATATGTCATTCTTAATTGTTGCAATAAAAGACATTACGATTAGTATATTTCTTATTCCAGTTTAGCAATTACTACAAGAGAAGTAAAGTGTAAAAACAAAATTACATATTTTTAGCAATTGTTCAGGATTGTACCACCCTCTTCTATACATGTACTGTCGCTCGGACTTAGTTTCGAAGATACATATTCACGAAAAACTGTCGGTACCACTACAAGGAATTCTGCCTGTAATCATTATGAGCCCATTACCAATTCGGTACATACACTGCCATGAACGCACAATTAATACCGGTGTAGTTTCTTCGCACATATCTCGGAAACTAAGGTCGAGCGGCTGTTATATGTATAAAATGTAGTTGCTCAGGATCATGCTCCTGGTAATATATTCAAAAATCATTGAAATTGATGAGGTTGGTATGATTCCGAACAATTACCGTATTTTTCTATGAAGAAGGAAATAATACGAAGTATTATCCAAACCATATGACTATACAAATTAAGAACAAATACTAATTGTATAAATATCACAGGTATAATTGTTGAACGATATTAATGACTGCATAAAAGTGATAACGCGCGCGCGCGCGCGCGTGTGTGTATATGCTTTATCTAGATTAAATGAGACAGATAGTACAGTAAATAATTTTCAGAAATATGAAAAAAAAGCTCATTTTTATAGTACTTTGTGTTAGTACGATACTTATCTCATTATTGATTATATTAAAAACAGATACTGTAAATAATATAAAATCAGAATTAAAGTATTCACAGAATGCAAGTTACACAAATAAAAATTCCGCAATTATAAAATTTATCATTGAACCAAAGTGTGATCCTAACTTCATTGTTTGGATTATTACGTCCTCTGCAGATGATCCTTTATACAGAACAGCATTGAGACGTGCATATCCAAGTGTAATGTTAAAAACTTTGAATGTCACTAGGATATTTTTATTAGGAATGCCTAAAGAAAAAAATATATTGAAATACATTTTAAAAGAATCACAGAAGTATAATGATTTGTTGCAAGGAGATTTCTTAGAAAATTATAAAAATCTCACGTTAAAACACTTGATGGGTTTAAGATGGGCATCAAGTAATTGTAGGTCTACTTTCCTAATAAAAACTGACAATGATATTGTACTAAATATTTTCGAAATGCTAGAACTTTTACAAAAAAAGGCAATAAAGGAAAACGCTATATCTGGATATGTTTTAAGGAAAATGAAACCAATACGAACATCAAATAATAAATGGTTTGTTACTGATGAAGATTTTTCAGATGATGTTTATCCTGATTTTCTCTCAGGATGGTTTTATATAACAAACTTAAAAGTTGCACAATTATTAGTTCGTGCAAGTGAAAAGTTTAAGAACTTTTTCTGGATTGATGATGTATTTATCACTGGAATTTTAAGGGAAGAATGTGGTATTAAAATTGAAGAGCTAAATAGTTTATATGCAAGCGATTATAGGTAATTTTCTATAACAACTAATACATAAAAAAGAAGAAGTTCCATTTGATTATTAAATTAAACTAAAATTTCTTTATCCGGTATTTTGTTAACTTACCAATTATTCCCTTTCGGGGAAATATGAGAAATCGTTTATATTAAATTATAAATTGTAGTAACTATCTTATTTCTCTTTTATTTTTCATTGAAAAGGTAAATTAATTTTCACAGGTATTTGGAATGTTGTATACGAGGTAAAAGACGGAAGCTAAAATGTGAGTTTATTGCAGGGCCTGATGGAGGCAAAAAAGAGTTACATATTAAATTTAAAGAATTTTCTGAATATTGCCAATCGAGCTGTTCTGAAAGAATGAAAGAACAATTAGTATCGAAAACTTGTGTAGCTGCTTATGAAGAAAAAGTAAATATTATAAATCCCAAGGTTCAGATTCATTATATATAAAGTTTCGGAACAAGTTTGCTGCCAAAGAAGTTTGCAAAATTACTACTTTTATTATTAATTACTACTTTTGTTATTATAAACATATTTATAATATTTCTTGTTTCTCAAATGAAAATAAATGTTTTCTAAGAACATCTTGGATTGTCATGTTATGGTGAAACCATATATCATTGTTTTTAACAATGTTACATTCATTTTTTAATTGTTTAAAATTTTTGTTTCTCCACTTGCTAGATTATTACAAATCAAGGGACGCAGTAATCTTCATAGTTTTAGGAACAGCTTGCTACATTATGATAGTTGAATTATTATCTCTTTCATTTAGCACTTAATTTTAATAATACTCATGCATCGCTTTCAATCAATTTCAAGCTTGATTTCTGTTTAGGAAGAATTGTGTTGTATAGATGCTCCCAGATATTTTCAATAATCATCTTATTTTAAAATTTGCTTTTCCATTTCTTACTCATTTTTTGTAGGCTTATTAGTTATTTGCTCAAGCCAATAAAGTATTATAGACAAAAAGTCTCAATGGTTAAAGCATTATTTTAAGAATTTATATATCTTTAATTGTAACTTTACATGAATGTAACTTACATACACACACCAAAAAAGCTTAGTTTACATTATATAATGCTAAACTATAACCACTCCAAAAGATATTATTGATTAGTTTATAATATTTGGCTGAGGTCAATTATGTTCTTTTCTTACCCTGAAAATTAAATTTGGTAAGTATCTAAGAAATTAAATACTATGAGGGCTAGTAATGACATAGATTTATATTTAGATCAGTTTTATCAACATCTTGTTTCAAATCTTTTATGCTATCGTAAAACAAATTCACTGTTGAATTTATCTTAATTTCTTCCAGCTACCGTAGTACTTTTAATTATAATATTATTGTTTTCTAAATTACATATTTATAAATACATATTAATTATATCTAAATATTTATCCGACATACACGGTACAAAATTTAATGTACATAATAAATAATAATAAATACAACGACAGTTAAACGCATTCAACAGGTACTAAAGTTACTTTGTAAACGAAAACAGTTAAGATATTTTCGAAAATCAAATTATTTATATGACAAAATCAAATTTGTTTGTTTAAAAGTTAAATAGATCATATAAGAAATATTTGTTATTATTCCATAAAAGAACAAAAATATTTTAAAGTAAGATTACGTAAAGTTAACGTTAAAGTTATAAGTTAAAGATTTATTTTCATAATTATACCTTTCCTATTACAAAGTAACTTCGACTACGAAATTTTATAATACATTAAAAATTGACATACTTTATAAAATAACACTAGACTGAATCAGTTCGAATATTTAGTTAAGCTGTTTATCATAATAAACATAATATATATAGTTTTATGTATAATATGTAAGTTATGATGATCCTGATAATAATAATAATGATAATGATATTAGGTATCCCATAAAGTGTTTTGTTGCAACTTAAAATGATAGTATGTTTTATTACCATTTTATTAATTTTAGTTATTTACGCAGTCATTATACGATTAAATGGTTACTTTGCTACTTCGAACAAAAAGAAAAAAAAAAAAAAAAAAAATAATACCATAGCACTAATGAAAACAGATAATAGTTAATAGAAGATTTAAAGAATATACACAATACATTAAAATTTCCTATTAAATTTTTATAGTATTCTTCTAATGTGATTTTCTTTATCTCATATAGCATCAAGAAACTTTCCACTTTTTATATTAGTACATATTTCTAATGTTGTTGGATATTAAAATAAGGTTTTGTACAAAAGATGATATATAAATGCATTTTCGATTTTACAAAACATTATAAAATATTACCACTGTAAGTAAAAGAAGTAAAATGGCGTGAGTTTTATATTTCTCAGCATTTAATCTTTTTTCACTGTACATCCATAAGACTTTTCTAATAAAAATAATTTTGTCATAAATATGACGATTCACTCTCATCACTGAACTCCACGACTTCCTGGTTTCTTTACGAGATGAAAATCGTTTTATTTATCATTAGAATATGTATATAACTTCAGCATGGTGGTGCTCTTATCTACGAGAGTCGTAAAGTTCTAGAACAGGCTCTGCTATATGTTTCCTGGTTGTTAAATAAGAGAAAGAAATTCGTTCTAAATTTGAAGAATTTTTTCCACGAGTTCAGCACAGGAAGGCTTTAAAGAATGATAAATGATCTTGAATAAGTTTGGAAGACCAACATATCAAAGGTTAATGACTTCGTACTTAGAATGAGTTACAAGCTAAACGAAAATATGTAGTTTATTTACAAAATTAAAAGTCATCTTGAAATTTTATCTCCATTTAGCCAATATATTATGTACATAATTGTATGTCCCTTTGAAGCAGAGTAAGTTTTATTTAATACCGGTATATAGACAAACTTTTTGAGATACCTAACGATAAGTAAGTATGATAGTTGTGGATGTTTATTAGTCCTGTCTTATTTCGGAATTTCTTCTATTTCTACATTTACCGCTATTAGGCCATTCAGCGCAGTGGTCAAGAAACGTTACAATAAACCTGTGTAAATACATTAAATTCCATTGTCGCTAAGAAATGTCTCAATCATGTCATGTTAACCACGTGCGCTAACAACACACATTTTACGTATTTTGCCTATTACCTTTACATAAACATCCACAATTTAAAAAAAGAATATTAAATAATATATAAGTTATAATGTTAAAAATAATAATGATACATAAATCAGTCTAGTACGCTATAATAAAGTTTTATTTCTGAAACAGTTCTACGTAAGAGATATTTTAAATAATAATTATATTTACACCTATCGATAGGAAATTTCATACAAACAAATCACAATATTTCAGATATTATACGATCTATTTAATGTATGTACAGAGGTACAGACTTATTTGCATATAAAATTTCTGAAGACAGTTCATGGTCAGTTAGTAAAATTTTGTGACATATGTCTATGCACACACATGTATATATGTATATGCACACACTTTGCATATATTTTCTGAAGATATAATACGAGGATTACGTGCCGCATATTATAACATGTTGTGTGATAATATATTATAAAATCTCACCAACTGATCAACTATTTACAGAAACATTATATAGGAATACAGCTCTAGAAATAATGTAAGTCTGTGAAACTGCACAGTATCTTAAGTAACTTCATACGAGCAAAGCATTCGAACCAAGCGTATTTTATACTTAAATAAAAAGTCTTATAAGCTCTAGCAATTTCAAGTTATTCCCTCAATTAGCCGTCATTGGCAAGTTCATTTTAATCAAAAAAATTTTCTCACCATTTTCCTAAAACCAGTGCTCTTTTTCTCCTTTTTTTTTGATATTGACGTCACACTACTACTTCTGGATTCATCACTTTGATCCATTAACAGACCGTTAGTAGTTGTATCACCATCGGTATGAACTTTTTCTGAAGATAGTTTTGAGGGAATATAACTTACTTGTACAGTCTTATCATTAGAATCGCGTGAATTCTTACTCCATTCTCCATTCACATCATTTGAATAAGCTTTTCTTTTCTTTCTTGTACTTAAAGCTGTTTTCATAAAGGAAGATGTTACACTTAGTCTTGTGTCTTTTAATATGCCACTAACGTTTTTGGAATTTAAGAGATCTTCAGATTCCATGACAGTTTGTTCACTATAAGCAATTCTTTCCGGAAATATATCTGCTGATAATGAATTCAATTCATTTGAATTGTCAGTACATGAATTATTTAGCTCGGAATTTTTAACGGAATCTGTCTCAGAGTTATCAGCACATGATAAGTTGTATATCAGTTGTATATTACTCTCTGCTTTGTGTACATTATCATCGTGCGAATTAATCATATTTTCTGGGGCAGATTTAAGCCTTTTACAAACCTGTTTTGGGGCATCAATTGTATGCAACACTTCGACAGACGGAGCAATTTTTGGTGTTATTTCCATTTCGTGTGTAACATCTGTTGAAGTTCCGTACTGTGTATTTGAACATATCTCTATATCGTTGTTTACATTTGTTTGATCACCAATCGAGGTGATTGCTTTTTTACGTTTCCTCTTCCTTTCCTTTTTTGTTTCATAAGATTTACCAATAATCATTAATTCGCGGTATGTACCTGTAATGTGAGAAGCTATTTCGCTTGGTCTTCGCTTTTTCGGTTTCTTCATATGTGAATTATAGTTTTCTGCACTTTTACGCCGCGTCATGTCTTTGTCTGACTGTTGCTTCCTCTTAACTTCAACTCCTTTATTGTTATTTCCCCAACAGTACATTAAAATTAAATATATCATAAAAACTTCGGAACATATTAACAACATATGTTGACCTATCATAGAGATTTTTCCGTGCCAACTGTCACGATCATGTAGAAGATTTTTCATCGAGTTGGAAAGATTAACGATTTTTTCTTTTAAAATAGAAATTTCTTCTGCCCTTTTTGATTCACGTTCGTCTCTTTTTCGCGTTTCTTCACTCATTGCTGAAACCGTGCGTTCAAGAGATCTTTGCATTTCTTCAACCTGTTTTTTATATCGACGACTTAATTCTTCCAAGTATTGTCCACTCAAAGACATATTTCTTTCTAATGCCTAACAATAATAAAGAGTCTGTGTGTGTATATGTATATGTATATATATATATATATATATATATATATATACATATATATATATGTATACATGTATATACGTATATATGTACATATATACATATAGATGTATATTCTATATTTATATATTATATTAGCATAAATATGTACGTAACAATATGTAGCAAGAACACTATTAGAGCATTATTATATATATAACAAAGAGATTTCGTCTAACAATATGTTTATTGCATTTCAAAACTAGCAAGATTATATTGCACAATTTCTATTCTTTTTGTCAGATAATAACAATTAGAATTATTAATTTGATAAGTAACTACATACATACCTTGATTCTATTAGACAGTCTTAGGAAAACAGATTCTTTTTGTGGCATGGTATTTGCCGTTGACTGAGTCACTGAAGCACTTGCAATAGGACCATTTTGAATATGGGCTGATTCTCCTTCTAAATCCTTTAGATCAGATAATAAATTGTCAAATGTTAAAGAATC